TGTCTTCCGATTTCTCTCTCGTTGATAAATGTGGCCGTATGATGGCGGATAATGATTTGTCTGTTAGGCTGAGATGAGAAAATCGGTCTGTCTTTTGCCAATTATTATTGGGAAACTGCCTGAAAACTGGCGGTCTAATTGATCCGAAAACGGTGTGTTCTATGTCGATGATCGGTTCTATATTCTCCGCAAACTTGGGAATTTTGGGAACTTTCAATAAATGTGACGGCACAGGTGATATTTGACGGTGTTTCAGCCTGATTTTGTTGCTATGCTTGCCCATGAACGGTGTGCGATTGTAAGCATTTTGTTCATCATCGCTCTCCTCACCAGAGCTTGTCGACGTGTCCGACAGAAGAAGACTCGTTACACCGTAGGTCTGTTGTCGATGTCTCATCATCCGGTTTACAAATTTCCTCACGGACTTGGGAAGTCTTTCCTTCACGCGTTTCTGAATCTCCGCCTGCCGTCTTCGTTCTAGCTCCTCTTTTGATATTGTCCGTATTCGTCGTCGCCTCCACCGTGCTGGTCGCCGTTGCTGTGCGGTATCGTCATCGTCAGTCCGTTTCAACTTATTCTGTCGCATATTTGCTAGCCTTAGTTCGTACAACTCCGTTGATATCTCCCTGCATTGTACTTCCAGGCGCTCTTTCTCAGCCAGGAATTTGTCTGCTAACTCCTGTTTTGTTTTTTCCTTTCCCTGTTCCAATTGATTCGCCTTTATGTGGAGTCTATCACGTGAGTGTTTGCTCAGGAAATCTATGCTGTTCTTTGGCGTGTTTTTTTCTTTTTCTGGTTCTTCCTTAGTCTCCGCCGGGGTTTCTTTATGGCCGTCACGGTCGCTGTCCATCTTGCGCTTGGTAACTGGAACGAAAGAAATTATAACGATTTATGTTGAAATAGCTCTAATGTTCATTTCCTCGCCGGCGTACCCGACCATGTCATCGTTTTGAACCACACATTGCGGGATGTCTGGTTTAAATTGAATGAAAAATTGAAATAATATTCATTGATTGGTAATGAGCATTTTTTAAATGTTGTTGTTAAAAAAAATGGTAGAAAAACAGTACAAATTATTATTTCACATAGTTTTGAGCCAGAATTTTTTTCAGCAAATTTTTTTCTGTTATTTCCGTATATGGTTTCTCGTCATTATTTTTTATCGGTGCAGATTATCTTTTCCATTTTGCCCCGTCCGAGTTTCTGTCGGATTATTCGTGTATAATTGGGGGGGGGTGTTAAGATTCGTATATAATGTCCCCTGTTAACCCTCTATACGACGTTTTCTGGAAGCCATATCTCTGCAGTTTTTTTAATAGAAGATTGTCCAGGTGCAGACTATTAAACTGGCAATGCTTAGTTCCCGACTTCCTGTGGAGCACACTACGTAAAATGCACTCTCGCGTGTGGTATCGGTCACGTTCCAATTTAAAGATGATAAATTGATTCAATAAATGTTCCTCTGGATTTTCTGTCAGAATTATTATGTACGTATTGACACTCATTTGTATGACGTCACATTGATGATTATACTAATATCCCGGATGTCATTTCACACCTTCTAGTTGAGCGCGCGAAGCTTAACTTTGCCACGCCCGGGCGTCTTTTGTTTAAGCCACCATACTTTAGTGACTGCGGCCTACGTGTCGAAGGAAGTCAATATAAAATTCTAAACACGGCTTAGTTTTAATGTGCATTAAGAGCTACCATTAAAGATGTCATTCACACAATACAATTTGATTTATCTGTGACCTTGTCGATTTTTGAACACTGATTCCCATCACGCGCCTTTAAACTTAAAAGCGCCAAGTGACGTCATGGACAAACTGATCTGAAACTAACCGGTGTAAACTGTTTTTCATATTTCTTAAAAATATAATTGAACATTAACTCAGAATCTTACTAAACCGTACACCATTTTAGTTCAATTACAAAAATAAGGTGATTATGCGTGTGTTTGTTGTGATGAACGTGATGTTTTATGTTGTGTTGTGTCAAAGGCGGATTTAGAGGGGGGTGCAGTAACTCGCCGTAACTATAATTCATATTTATCACACAATTCAATGCGGCAATGACGTCATTGTAAAAGTGTATGGTCACTGTGTTGTGTTACTTTGAGTTGTGCTGCATGTGTTGTTTCATGATATGTTGTGTTGAGTTGCGTTGCGGTGCATTTCGTTGGGTTGGGTCGTGTTGTGTGTGCTGCGTTTGCCCAGTGAAACCTTGGTCATTACAGAGGGTCACTGTTGCGTTGAAAATATTAGCTGAAAGTGGAAAGTGCTAAAAAAAACAGGATCCTGCTTTAAAGTAACAATGAAATAAAAAAAAATATCACACGCGCGTCTATCACGGTTTCCAGTATTTGAACCAGAGTGTGTGTATGTACTGAATGATGTAAATATCTTGGGGAACATGCAGGTAATTCCAGAGCACACAACCTTGAATTAAAAATTCAACGTTACACAATGTGTCGATTCGAATTAGTGAATTCCCACAATCATAAACACACGTAGGAACTAAAATATACTAGTATACAGTTTTCGCGGGAAAACTTCTTGCAAACAAACATTATAAAATCCCGTGATGTTATCTTTGAAAATGATCAAATAAAACTTATTCTATCTAAAGCGGGGGTGTGCATGTACGGGTTGGTACAAATGGGATCATCTATGGTAGAGGGGAACGTTTTTAATCACCATACACTACTTGAAACTCCATTTTCAGGGATGGATATGGAAAGCTTACCCCGGTAGTCTCTTCCCGATCGAGGTGTGAATTGACTACTGGAAAACGGAATCTGCGAATTCGTCCTCTGATTGGAAAATCGACTTTAAATTCATCCATATGCATTTAATTATGTTGCTCAAATATGTTAAATAATATTTGAGTTGTCCGAATTTATTGATCACTTATGTCCTAATGAAATCAATGAATTTATATACACCAATCAATTACAGTTACTACTAGTATTTTCCATCAATAGACCTTACGGAAATGACAGCCAGGTTCTCGTTGAGAGTGCGAGAACCAACCACGATACTTGTCGTTGATATTAGGGAGCTATTGGGGTAGGCCTTTGGTTTTCTCAAGTAATTTCCGAAGTTTTAGATCAGCTAGGTATTAGGTCCAACTATGTTTTTTTGGAGAATTCTCGGATAATTATTTTGTAATAATCGAATTTAAAGATCGATGTGAACAGAGCGATATTGGGGGGGGGGGGGAGTTCAAACTTGAGGTTTCTTGAAGGAAGAAAGTTTCGGATAATTATCGAAGTTTAAGGTCGATCGATATTGGTAGTTGTATTGGGGTTCCATTTCAGTTTTCTTTGAGAATTCTAGGATAATTATCGGATAATTAACATACTCAGGCTTTGTACAGTATTCAAAGTATTCAGAACAGCCTGGGTGAGTGCGATGGCGAAAGAGAATGAAACGTTGCGACTGTTTGAGAAGCAACAATAATTATTGTGACACCCTATCTATCAAGACCTCGGGATCCATAGGAATGTACTTATTGTGTAATCGGACAAACAGTATTGCTAAACTATTGCATACTAAAAGTATTATAAAGTATTCATAGCATAATACGATGTCCATGTATTATGCGGCAATTCCAGGTTAGTCCTGTTATCCAAATGTGCTGGTTTCTCATACAATGTTCGAATTCATGTACGGCTGTGTCGTTTTATCGTGCGTGGCCATAGTATCACCGTATGCTAGATGGAACCTCGGATATGTATTTCCATTGAGAGGGTGCATGGAGGGTGCCAACCAGGTTCGTTTTTGAAAACGTGTCGACGTGTCCGTTATTCGGCCAGAAAAAAATATTCCTTCAAGATCAACAAAAAGCTGTTCTCTAGCACAAACGATTCCTAGTTCTGGTGATGGCACCCACAAAAAGCATCTTCAAAGTTAAAAAAAAATGTTTCGCTGAGGAAAACGGCTCGTACCATAACAACGAATGACGAAAACAAAAATTTAGCTGTATTGATGGGTATACGTTTTTCAAACGACGTTATGAAATGCTGCCTCAGAGGGAACGGGGTCTTGGAGTATTTCAGGCACATATCTGTTATAATGTCAGGGGAATGACCCTCGCCCTAGAACGACAAAAAATATATATTTCATAAGATTAATACTATGTCGATATCGTAAAAACATTCATGTGCGTTTACGAGAAAACTTACGTGATATTGTTTGATCTTTAAGTTCCGTCAACTGCTGCATTTTACCCGTCATTGGGTTATCTCTGCTTTAAACTATTACCAGCTTGTTGTAGAAGTATCTCGATGTTTGGTCAGCCTCGATGTGGTCGTTGTAACGTCGCAGCCGTTACCTAACTAATCAACGGGAGGCCATGCAATAAAATCAAACTCCGTGGTGATGACCATAGATGCATTATTAATTCTTACATTATATCTAACAACAAACACTAATGTAGACACAACCGATTTCTTTTTTAGAAATCCAGAAATGAAGCGAATTTCGTCAAGACAGAATTGTACCGCCGCTTTTGAATTCCCAAGACAAAACTGATTTGTTGCCATGGTAATGGCAATGTTTGTTATCCGGGATGGCAGGTGTTCTCGGTAATACAATAGGTGACCTTTCTTTCAAAATTATTACAACGAAATTAACATTTAGGTATTATTCACGTCGCGTACTGTGACCTATATAATTAATTATTCATAAGTGTATGTTTAACTAATTGACGGTGAATGAATTTGGGCTCACGTGATTTTTGGCGGAAAAATTAGCGACGCCAGCGGCGAGAAATAGATATATCGCTTGAAAATACAGTATTTTGTTTGAACATATACATTTGATCATATCGCTCTCTATAGACTTCTGTTGCATCATGATTTCGGCAAAATGAGATTTTGTGTTTTATGTTTATTATATTTATGATTATATAGTACAGTGTTGATAATATAGAAGAAAAACGCATTGTTCGTGTGTTATGCCTTCTGAAGCCAAACTCAGCGGACGTCACCTACGGCGATGTTCGAAGAATGGCGTGAGAACTTTAAAAGAGGGAAATCGGCGGGAGCAAGTGGTATCGGAACAGGAACAATGGATATCCAGTCAAAAAAAAGCAATGAATCTCCACAGGTCAGTGAGAGAAAATATTAACTTTTTAAAGAGATCAGTGAGTCGATCATGAGGCAACATTATAATCGCATAATATCATATCGGGGGCCCGAGTATGTAGATGTATACCCCCTCCCACCGATAATAGATTTGTCGCTTGGTATGCTTTCTATTTGCCATGTTTCCAATGATTGTGTGCACGCAGCGAAACAAACCTACATCCTACACAAACATAATAACATAGTTGCAATAAGGTTAGTTCCAATGTCCAAAACTCAACACTTTTGGCTGAATTATAAATTTTACGTTTGTTACTGATGAAGGCGATTGTATTTTGCGTAAACATACAATTGTATTTCACACACTTTTTACACACGCAAAAAACAAACAAACTTTAACATATTCAATTTGTTAACAACTTGAATGCCCAATAGTATCAAACATGGTCTGGCTTTCCATTCAGAAATGTGAAAATACATGTAGTTCAAACAAAACAATGTCAATCGGTTTGAAATGCCTGTAAATGTTAATGAACGTTCATCCTTTTCGGCGAAAATAATACATATAATAGTGTTAAAATATGACCATATTTACGCGCGGATTCAGCCCCCCCCCCTTCAGCCCGCAAAAAAATGACAAGTCATTTGGGAAACCATGCCCACCCGTACCGGAGGTGCGCGGACGTGACCACGTCAATAGGAGCGCGCCCTCCTTACTGAATTTCTGGATCCACCAGTGATATTTTGCCGACCAAATCGTTTGTAAGTAATAATTTTATTACATATCAAGGCATTCGGCCTATATAGAAGTGTTCATAATTTATAAAGTGTTTTATGCGTTGACCTATAGAATGAACGGGTGTCGGGCTAATGGCGCTGTTCTCATATGGGTAGTAGCGATGACGTCGGAACGAATGGCCTGGGTAGGCTATTGGTCTTAGTGCAACTTTTATTCTGAGCATTGGTGTTAGAACCAGGCGTAGGGCTATACGTTCCTTGTAATTTGGTTCAATAAAAGCATCTCGAAGATGAAACTACCGGTAGTAGTTTACTGTGCACTAACAGCTGAGGAAATGGTACTTGTTCAGTTTTTCGTCAGTTTTTGGCATAAAGGAAATTACATTGTTAAAATTCGTCATATACTAGTATTGTAATAACACAGAATATCAAGGCTGTTAGCTACCATTGAAACTTATTGCCAGCATTGACTTTGGTATGGTCATCAAACTACTTTAAGTACAAAAACAAATGTCATGTTTCAACACTTCGTCCAGGTGTGTATCCTCGGGGGGGGGGGGGGGCATCCGGGCATTTTCACCGCCTGGCAACCTGCGGCGGTGAAAACAAAGGCCCAAAACTCGCAGAAAACGGTACTTTGGGATGATTGTTGAGACTCCTCTGAACAGTGTAACAAGATTAGCCCTACGTGTGTAACATATATAAATTTGGCTGTTCGGGATTACTTCAAAGTTGAGTTTGTGTTGTTTTCTCGAATTTTCACCGGCTCGACCGGCGTTCCACAGCAGCGCGCACAGAGCCCATAGAAATGCAAGTACAGTGGTGCGCGTCGTAGCAACGTGGAACGTCTTGTGACGTAGCTCCGCCCCCGAGGATAGAGAAAAAATCGTAATTGAAAGATCGTTGTTCCGAATTATTTGGAAATATTTCGTACTGGGTAAAAAAAAAGAACTGATGGTTTGTGTATGTAATTGGGGAAAATAACAATTTGATTTCAAATCCATTGACAATTTAATTATGTTTTATATCACATGCCAAATATAGTTCGTTTCCTTGATATTGGTTGAGGAACGAGGCTATTTTGAAACGGTCTTCCTCGTCTGCTACGCATTTGTCTTCGCTCATCTCGCTTTTTCTCCAACCGACTGATGATCATTTAACAAGCTGTTCACGTTCTAGTTTTTACTGAGTGATTATACAACAATCCAAAACAGAATGGAGAAATATTAGAAAGCTGGAATAACCGAGTCAAAGAACCTGAGGGCGATGTTTCTAGAATCGGTGGGAAAGTGTTGTCATTTGCATACAACCCGGAAGTAAACCACGCAGATAGGATTATTTTTAGTCACGAGTCAAATATAACCATTTTATCCCAGAATAAAACACTGTGCAGCATTTAATCTGGGCGCGGAACATTAATCCCCGTTGTACCAGAGATCCGCCGAGCTGAAAATTATCGTGACAAGCACCAGCAAGTGAAAACACGGTCACAAGCAGTATGGGTGAGTCTGCCTGTCACATATGAACGATCCACTTGTCAATTGACCGAGCTACTATCAATAATTTCTATTTGCTGGGCTTGCCAAAAGTCCTTCATTAATTTCATCTAAAGTGGTATTCTAGCTTCGTTGACCTCGCTCGTAAGTGATAAGATGCAGTGTACTCAAGCGCTGTAGTTCAAATGTGCTCGGTCCGAACCTGGATGACGGATTGATCGATCGCGACACGTATTTTTGTTTCAAACAAAATTTAATATCTATGTTTCTACATATGAAAAAAAAAAAACCGAATAAAATATGTATACAGTGGCCTTGTTAATGAGAACATAACAACGGGTGATTCCACTTCTAATCCAAAACCCCCATCGCAGCAATCATACCAATCCTAATGACACAATCTAAATATTTGTTGCTTTCCCAGGCGTTAGCCAATTTTTATACGTGCTAATTAAATTCCAAGTGGTACGATTTTATTTTTATTTTCAGCGGGTAAACAACATTTTTTTTTTAATTTTTTTTTTAATGGGTTCACAATTTCATAATATTGTGCAATTGCACTTGTTATCTGCCCCTTACAAATGTGAAAAAGATTGTTATTATTATAATCAATAATAAACAGTTTGAACCCAGGATTTGAGTATCTGTGAAATGTCATCAATGCTAATTCCTTGACCTACAAATTAATGTCACATCATAGACCAACCATTAAACAGTAGAAATATTGTATAATTTTGTATTTATTCAATAACACTCGCACATCCCCCCTGAGGGGGTGAAAAAGGTTACATCAACTATAGAAAAATGCAAAATGCAGAATAATATACATATGT